ATCCAGCTAAAAAATATCGAGATAGGAATTTTGGGTCATATCGCCCAGCCCTATTTCATACTATAACTTCCCAGCAGTGACTGCTTTCTTCTTTGACCTCAAGACACAAAAGATTATACACCTAAACAAACAAAACACAATGTACATCCTCAACGACTCAGTTATGACTGACAGACTTTTTATTGTCATTCAATATACAGCCAGCACTGGCTCAACACGGGAGAAAATTTTTTACTTAAATATAAAACTGTTTTAAATAGATTAAAATATGTACAGCAGCAAAAAGTCTATAAAGTCCAATGATATGATAAAAATGTAAAACTCATATTTGGATTTTTTTGTAGCGGCAATAAAACTTAATTGCATTTAGCTGTGAATGTGCCTTAACTACACTTTAACTTTGTCGCAGAAAGTTCAATGTCCCTATCTGGGCATAGCGTTTTCAGCGGGAGATTCAACTTTCTGGGATTTCCTTAACTAAATGACTTCCTGTGTCAGTTATTAAACTGCAGGTAAATTATGATCCTGTGACATGTTGCTGCTGCAGTAGTAAAGAGTATGTGTGTGTGTGTCTGTCTCAGGAGAGAGGCAGCAGCATAAAGACGCCAGATGCTACTGTGTCAGACAGGTTAGGTGTGTGTGTGTGTGTGTGTGTGTGTGTGTGTGTGTGTGTGTGTGTGTGTGGCACTCGTCCAAGCTAGCCCAGCAATAAGAAAGAAAAACCTGCTGGAACAGGTTTCAAAAGATCTACTTGGTGCAGTCACTGGCAGCTGGCAGCCCTCTCTTCCTCCTTCCATCAGTCTTTTCTCTGAATGTTTGGCTGTCTGTACGGGACATAAGATACAGCACAGAACGGGCATCTTGCCCTGCTTTCTGAGCTTGCCCATGGCAAAGGCTGCCTTCACTATGATCTGTTTTCATTTAACTATTGAGTGTTCAAACAAACATGTGCACAGGTGAATGCAGGCAACACCGTTTGTGCATTTGAAGCCTGCAAGAACACAAACGCGCCACTGCTTCTTTTCACTAGCAACAGAAGCAGTCATTCTGGAAATGTTAGTTTCTGATGTAACCAGTAACAGTAAATGTCATACCTCGTGGACATATCCACCAGTTGTTTCTTACGGTCTGCAGAATCTGAAGTCAAACTGATCTTAGGACCACCAGGCAGCTCCCACGTACATTTTAAGATCCCTGATATTTTTAGGAACCTAGTGTTTAAAAATCAGCTGTTAAGTTTGAAAAGAAACTGAGGTAGATATTTACCGAAGAATGTGAGAGAGGGAGTAAAGGTATGTCAATACAGGTAGATTCCTATCCTATCCTCCCAATGAACCAGGAACAACAGCAGCCTTAGCTCGTAGCTATACCTTGAACAAACCCTGTCCTCAGTGAGAGGGTTGAGGCCGAGTGACAGAAAGACTGAGGATTAGTTACAGACTGAATAAACTCTTGTGTTACAATGCAACGCCTCTGCAGAGTGAAGATAGTGCCCAAGGCCTTTTCTGCCAAAGATGAAGATCTTGAGGAGGGAGTAATGTGGGAACAGATTCTGGGGGGCTCTTCAGTCAAAGTCTCAATGTCTTCTGGAAAATAATTGCTCCGGTGCTCGAGTGTTCTCAGTTGCAATATCATGTTTTCTAGAGCTGGAGCAACAAAACAATGCCTCTGACAGCAAGTCGGAGCACAGTTTGTACGGTTTTGAACTTGACTTATATCTTTAGAATTACATAACACGTAAGCCAGATCCATAATAATGACAGGTGAGTGAATGTTGTTTTCTTTGAGGGCTTTTGCATATAATTTACTCTCTGCTATATGCAAATAAAAATCCTACAGAAAAACAAATGCACACTAACTTGCACATCCAGTTTACTTGTTTGATCAGGTCAGTGATCAGCCTCTAAGCTATGTAAGCCATTATGAAAATGAATGGGATAAATAATAAATTAAAAGGATGACATTTTCATGTCTGTTTCTTCTCTGACCGTCCCCTCCATGTCACCACAGACTCGCTAATAGCAGATATGGCAAAATGGTATGTACCTTAAATAGATAAATATCTCTACTGACACGCTGTTGACGGGCATGTACTTGTTAAATTGCTTCCTGATCTTTATTTAGCAGCTGTCGGCTGGCTTGCTACCTCATAAATTATTTTTTTTTTAACTTTCTTTTTTATCTTTTATCTGCAAAAACTAAAGTCATTCCTGGAAATTAAAAAAAGACCCCAAAATGATCAACATAAAAATGGAAATTTGCTAAACGTGTTAGCATTATTAACCTGCTAACTTTGCTTTTCAGCTCAAAGCAGAGCTGTGCTGTAATAAGGGAGCA